ACAACCAACTCGTGACTGGGAATGACAGATTATCTTTCCTTTGTTATATTAATAGACCGATCCAGTCTGTCAATCACAACTGGCGCATGCATCAATTTTGGAATTTCCCCACTTTTTCACATATGCGAAATCATAACAAAGAGATGCCAACAAATAGCACTTTAAGACTTTGCAAGTGTTATAAAATCGGACAATGCTAGTAACTGCAATTTTGTTCTTGTATAACGTTTTTAGTCAATACTGGGCAATGAGTCGGTAGGCGGTAAAGCTGATATGAGATGGGCAAGAAAGCCGTGACACAATGTAAACAAATCTAACAGCATCTGATTTCTGTTTGGGCCGACTGAAATTGCATTAATTGTTACATTTATTATGATAAGGGTCTGGGGTCCAAGTGATGGTTCCGGTGAAACACCTTATCTAACTGGCGTGCTGGTCTGCTTGGGGGAATTAACTCAGCAAAAGAGTCCGAAGTCACAAGAAGCTAATCACACTTTTATTTACAAGAATGGAGTAACATGGGGTGGCCACAGAGAGTCGGTACAACCCTCTGGGCTGAGGGCTAGAGCTGACCTGTGTTGGGAGTCTAAACCCTACTGATGGACAAATGAAGATAGAGACTTTTTATCTACAATTAAAACAATAAAGAGATTATGATTGGTTGACTGATACCAAAAATGGGTGTAACCTACATTAGCCTATCAAATACAGAATATACAAAATGGGGTGTGTCCTTCAATGACCAGACAGGGCAATCACTCTTAATCCTTGTTAATCCTATTTCAACTGGCACTAATCTTGATGGCACTTTTACTGGATGCTTGGATGCTTACCCTGGGCTAGATCTCAACGAGCCTAATCTGATGTGTCAATTACAGGTGCTTGGATTACAATAGATGCATTTAATCGTCTGGTCATAACTCTGAATTACTGAAAGGGTTGCTAACAGCTTGAGTCCTCAATACCTTAGGCTAGGATTTTATCTTGGATATCTGTGAAATTGTGTAGCCGTAATTTATACCTTTTTTCAATAGTATGTCTGTGAGATGAGTTTTACAACTTTTGACTGGAGTCTTTCTCTAAGCTATTACTAATATTCTATATTTATATTTTCCTAATATCTGAATCCTAATATATTGCTTGTAGTGGTAATAATGAATAATGAATTTTGTATGAATTATTATCCCATGATACATTAAAGAACAAAGTGGTGGATATTGTTGCCCTCTCTCTTAGATATTCGTAAATGTGTCACATATTTTACGATATTTTTAAGTTTCAAAATATCAATATGAAGGCCAATCTGTTAATAGTGAAAAATATTTGAGGAGGAATAATATTTTCAAAAGGAAATATATATACCCCGGTAGTCAATGTCATGCAAAATCCATGCAAAATTAATTCATATGAGTGCCTATAAAACCATGCCTCGAATATTTCAGAATTGCTATGAAGAGATGGGACCTTGAAAAGAATTTCCTTAGGGACCATTCATACTGTATGGGGTGGGGTAGGGTGATGTTGTACCTGACAGACCAGGGGGATGGGGGGTCACTTACTTTATACATAAATTTTAAGGGGGGATGTCATTCTAGATTGTCCAGTTCGTGCCTTGCACTGGTACATTCAGCAGACTTTACCTTTTAGACGAAATCGTCACCGTCTATTCCTCCCTTGCAAGCAAAACATCAACTCAGAAATTTCCAAATATACTTTTTCATTCTGGCTCAAGAATACTATCTCTTTGGCTTATAGAAACTGTCATCAAGAAACTATAGACAATAGGTTTTCTCCGCATAAAATTAGAGCTTTGGCAACTTCTCTGGCAGCTTGGAATACGGTTTCAGTGGAGCAAGTTGTGTCTAACTGTCAGTGGAAATCCACAAACTCATTCACTAACTTATATGTGAGAGATGTTGTGGCATCAATGGAGGGCCTCTGTTCCTTGGGTCCTCTAGTGACGGCACAGCATCTCTCCTCTGCCTGACCTCCTTATGGGGGGGAGAAGGGGGGAGGCTCAGAAGTCAGAAGTGAGCCTTCAAACGGACTGGAAAGAGACACAGTCTGACTTCAGAACTTGATAGTACTGGGACAGTCAAGGAGAGAGATTCGGAGAGATTCTACACGTAGACCTATGAACGGTTAGGTTTAAGAAGACCTATTTACTAATGGTTGAACACTATGTTAGCGGAATTGGTATCCCCACGATAGGTGATGGGGTTCACAAGGTCACGTGATCCCTAGGAGTGACACTAGATCCATATTAACATGTTTAGAGGATGTGAGATTTCGATCTTCGTATAGTTGTATCCTACTGATAGAAGGTTAGTCATAAATGGAACTGACGTCATCAACCAGATGTGACGTCATCAACAGGAGGTGCCGTCAGAGGACCGGAAGTGACGTCATAAGACTGGAAGTGACATCATAGAACTGGAGGTGACGTCATGAGACTAGACGAGTGTTTTAATCACCTCTAAATGATCGAAAGGAGTACCATTAGACCGGAAGTCACATCATCGAACCGGAAGTGACGTCATTATTTCTAAGGAAGATAGAAACATAGTCTCTACAGAATTATGGTTACTAAGGAATAAGAATGATCTAGCAGACTCTCTTAGATGGATAGAATTCTCCTCACATTAACTTCCTGTCCTTGTAATTGGAGCTAACAATTAATCATTTGTTAGGATTATGGTGGCGGGTATCATAGGACATGAAGTTATATAAGTCATAGTTATCCTGTTCTGAGAATTATCTGATTCCAGTAAGATATTGGTATCCCTAATCACCTCTCATCCACGGGACCCTCCTTCCATATGTGGGATTCTGGCAACCATAATCCAGAGGGAATGTTTACGACATAATTAGGAACAATTACAGGTATTCTTAGTAATTGTTAGTAAACTTACCTCTGGATTATGGGATATAGGTCCCTCCCGAACCTCCTCGCTAAGTGTATGAGAAGAGGTATGTTAAATTTTTCTTTAGAAAAAATTATGAGGGCTTGGGGCGAACAGTGCTGTGACATCACAGCTAAGGGAGATAACTGCATAACTCTTTAGGCATACCACTAGGGATAACTATGACTTAGTTTTTTTAAGAGAACTTTTTTCTCTTTCATTTCTGTATGTCTCTGTGATATCACAGGAAACTGGCAACCATAATTCAGAAGTAAGTTTACTAACAATTACTAACAATACCTGTAATTATTCCTTTTTCTTCAAAAGAACTGTCTTCAGTCAAAGATATTTAACTGCTTACTACTAATGTAAATAAGGTGCATAGAATATATCCTAAGTTCAAAGATCTTTGTCAATAAAATTACATATTACAATGATAATCTTTGTTTTATTGGATCTGAGTCTATATCCCAAGAAGACATAACTCTAATTTTGATCTATTTCCTTTTCTGAAATACTTACTGATTGTCATAAAAAAGGTTAGTTGTTCCAAAATTTGTTAAAGACAATTGGGTAAAAATCCTAAAATGTATGACAAATTAAAGAATATCTAAGAGACAAGGCAACAGTATCCACAACATTGTTCTTTAATGTAACAATTAATGCTATTTCAGTCGACCCTAACAGAAATCAGATGCTGTCAGATTTGATTACATTGTGTCACGGCTTTCTAGCCCATCTCATTTCAGCTTTACCGCCTACCAACTCATTGCCCAGTATTGACTAAAAACGTTAAGTAAAAGCAATTTTGTAGTTACAAGCATTGTCTGTGTTTATAACATTTGCAAAGTCTTAAAGTGCTATTTGTTGTCATCGATTGGTAAAGACTTTGCATTTTTGCAAAAGTTGTGAAATTCGTGCAAATTCTCACCTTTTTAGCAGACGTAGGTTTCGTGAATGATGGTGCCAACATTTAACTGATCATGAGGCATATCACACTCCTTGATCCGCCTCAAAGATTTTGTCTCTACCGTAATGGTTTTGTTACACATCAAATCGCAGCAATACGTAATAGATATTGCAAGCATGAATGGCATAATTCGAAGCAGATCCCTTCGGAGGCATCGTTGACCCCTGGAAGTAAGTCTGACAAATCCACAAAGCGCGCCCAGCCTTCTGATTGGCCCAAATTGACGCTTGCGCCAAGTTTTGATTGACAGACTGGATCGGTCTATTGCATTATAGCTATCTCTAAATGTTATGATATTTGATATGTGTGTAGTTAGTGTTGGTACTCAGTACACATAGCCTGTTTATTGGGATATAATGTGATGTTCATTGGACTGTCGCTGTTTGGGCTATGTGGTTGATTTCTCTAGAAATGCATATTCCTTTCACTGTAGACCTTATACCCTCAGAAACCTTTTGAAGCTGAAACTTCATTCTTTTCCCCACCCGTGATGACACCTGAATGTTTCCAGCAAAAGGTTCAGCAGCCATATTGAGTGTTGTATTTATGACCATTTTTGCTTCGAAACATAATCACTTGGACTATTTATGTGGTATGAACATGTGTTTTGATATGGCAATGTTTTAAGTTTTGACCTTCATTTGATCTTTGCACTTCGGAAAACACTCCTAATTCTCTCAGAATGCATTTCTTTGCTTTGTCAGAAACCACTTGACCAAAGAGTGAGTGAGTGAATTTAGGTTTATGCTGCACTCAGCAATATTCCAGCTATATGGCAGCGGTCTGTAAATAATTGAGTCTGGACCAGAAAATCCAGTGATCAACAGCATGAGCATCGACCTACGCTGGGATATGATGACATGTGTCAAACAAGTCACCGAGCTTGACAACCCGATCCCGTTAGTCGCCTCTCATGATAAATATGGGTTACTGAAGATCAATTCTAACCCGGATCTTCACAGGTCACTTGACCAAAGAAAAATAGAACACTGCTCAGAGTGTTGTGCTAAAAAATATCCTGTGTTGCTTCTAAATTCTCTCAGCCTGAGGAGGCTCAACTTTGGCAAACTTTGTGTTAGATTCAAATAAAAAAAAAACTGTTTTATATTAATCTGCTTCATTTTCAGATCAAGTGCCAAGCCTGCTTTGCTGTGCGTAATTTGGCCTCCGATGGTGAGTATCAGGTAGTCATTGTCTCTTGGTCAGATATTACTTGTTCAAGACAGGACATGAAAAGGATTAAATGATCCCTTATGTATTCAATAAACCGTTGAATTTGCCTTCATCTTGTTTCCTTATCAGCACATACCCTTCCTTGGGGAACCAAAGTAGTAAATGTCTCAGATCAGCATCACTTGAAGCTTTGCTCCTACACAAATCTCATATGACATGATGTAACTGAAGTACTGTTCAATGTGGGTTTAAATCGAACTCACTCTCTCAACTGTGTATTATTCAAGAAGAAAAATGGTGACGAGGATATATCATAGTGACACTTCACTTGTTGCCCACGGCTATTTGTGTATCGGTATAGTGTGCTGAAATGCATATGTGTGTATTTTAAAAAAATATCTTGCCTTTTAAGCTTTCACAGTACCTAGTTAATTGAATTTATTCTTTATTTATGGATCACCTGACTGTAGGTCACTTGAGGTAATGTCATGGCCCGTTTGTATGGCATCAGGGGTCAGTCAGAAACATCAGAAACTGGTGATCCAATCAAGTTGGAATTTCAATTGTTTGTTCACACCAATAATGACACCTGAATTTTTCAGGAGGATGAGATCTGATTCTCATTACAACAGCCAAATTTGAAAAACCTATTTGCGGCCATTACTCAGTCAAGTCTGTACCAAAATGTCTTTGTACTTCAGTTCCAGTAAACATTTGGTATATGAGTAATTTAGTAGTAAACCAGTTCCAAATATCACCAAGAAAAAGCACTTTGACCATGCTCTGTATGTTTATAAAAATGAACTTCCATTATAAACATCATCTTGTAAGAAACCACTTGGCAAATGACACTGACACTTCACTTAATTTCAACCAATAATGACATGTGAATGCTATGGTTTGAATCTGTTTTTACAGATTATAGTGACATGGATTTGCATGACGTAAACAGAAATGAGCATCTTCTTCTTTTGTAAGGAAAGATCTAATTTGGTGAACATGTAATTTGTAACTGTTTGCTTTGGCAACAACTGCTCTATTAATCCAGATTAAGCTAGACAAAACTACGCAACCTCTCAGTGGATGAAAAACATGTGAATGAACCCACTTCAAACTTAATGAAAGATGAAACTCCTTTTTCTATTGCAAAATGTTATAACCTTTGCTTAATGTAGTGGTAGTAGAACTCCACACTATTTTACGTTTTGTCTATATCCCACTATTGCACTTTGACTCTGACATTCTCTCAGGTATTATGTGCACTCTGAACAACTCATCTGAAACAACTAGACCATATGAACATAAAAGTTCATTTGCTTTTTCTCACAAAACTGCAGCCACCTGAATTTGTTCAAGAGGTTTGATTCTGAAATATTTTTATGGACTAAATTCAGTCATGAAATTGGGTAGAACATATATATTACATTTTTTGTTATATTCCAAATTTCAATGTAACCTTTGACCATACCGAAAGTTGAAATTCTTAAGACCATTTCTTTCCTATTTTTTTCAAATTATAGTAAAATTCAGTGTATACAACAAAGATAGTTGGGTGGATAGCTGGTTGTACTTAAGTTTTACCAATTCTCTGTCTCTATTATATTGTTGCCATAAATGTTGTAACTTGGCTGCAATCACGATCAAGATAAATTTTCAGACATCCTCTTCACAGTTTACTATGCATAGCTAGTTGCCTCAGCAGCAGCACTAGCATATTACACATATTCCATGTACAAAGACTGGAACATCTCTCTTCATCCCAGTGTGCATGTGCAGGAGTAAACAACTCCTACTTAGTTCTCTTAGTTATGTGGTCACATGAATTTTAGTTCATTTTTAGAGGAAGAGTTTAATTTATAATCTACTAGAAGTTGTTGGATGTTTCTAAATGCACATGTATGTGGGTGTTTTGGAAAATTGGTGTTTGTTGTATTTTGCCACATCATATTCTCCATCTGCATGTCAGAAGTATAGTCTCTACTTGACCATTGGTGATCCTCATAGTGCATATGGGAAATGGGAGATGAAATTTGTAAAGAATATAAAATATATGACATCTTTAATTCACTGTTGTCCATAGCCTTCTCTGAATCTACTACAAAATTTTGAAGACATGTTAATTTCAACCTAAACTGCGTGTACGTCATGCCACGGCTTACAGAAAATCAGCGTCTCTATGCTGTAGGTATGCTGGAGACTGGTTTGACCCAAAATGAAGTGACTAGACATTTTGGTGTCCACCAAAACATGATCTCATCTCTAAGGAGATGTTTCCAAGAAAATGGGAACTCGAGATTTTCCTTGGACCGGCTGTCCACATGTGACGTCATGTCAGCAAGACAACCACATTCAGCTGACCCATCTAAGGAATTGATTCCAGACTGTCAGTTCATTCAAAGACAGAGACGTAACTTTAAGCTTCAGTCCACATGCCTGTCCACATGTCACTCTCATTGTGACAGATTTCCTGAGACAGCAGAACATTCTGGTACTCCCCTGGCCAGCTGTTTCTCTGGACCTCTCCCCTATCAAGCACGCTTGGGATGAAATGGCGCAACATTTACGTCAAGCCCAAAATCAGCCATTGACTTTAGCTGAATTGAAACAAGCATTGGTTCAGACATGGAGCAACATTCCCCAAGGTTTCTTCAATCTCTTAGTGTCGTCTGTGCATCGGCATTGTGAAGCCTGCATCAATGCCAATGGTGGACACACAAGATACTGAATTTGTGAACTGACTTTTGACACATCACTTCAAGGACGTGTCACGATGCCTAGTGTTAAATCATACAGATTTTGATATTATCCTGTCAACAGTTAAACAGTGATTAAGGAAAACACCACAAATCATGTTATTATCTTTTTGCATTAAAAATTACCTTATTCTAGTAGTACACAACCCCAAAATGCTGTTGTCACCTGATGCTACTACCAACATCCCTATCAGTGTGTCATTATTTGCTCCACAGAATTCAGCTGTTGAGTCATTACTGGGATCTCACCTAGCTAGAGATAGAAATGCTAAAACAGACTACAGCAGATTACAGGCCTACCAAAGAAACATTTCCCACTGTGCAGAAAAACGCAGAAAAGCCCACATAACAACATAAACATAATACCTCGCTACTGAAACAGTAAAAGCGGCAACTTTAAATTGCTAACACTGCATCATAAAACGAGGAGCCCGCAACTTCAATTTTGTGCATGCGCACATGGAAGAGGAAGTCTCGACCTTGGACAAAAGTTACATTCCTTTTTAAGTATTTCTGTTGTGTTATTTGGCATTTATCATCATGATACTTGTGTGCACACATTTTGAGTTTACTTTCCATTCGTATGAAACGATTGACAGCAATTATTTTGACATATTTAATACTTTTTCTATGCGAGACGATTCACGGTTGCTCGGAAATTGGAAAGAAGCCCGGATCATAATGCGCATGTGCAGTAGAGGTCAAAGTTCGCTGATATAAAAATGTTGCAGTTTCATAGTTTTTCGTTGCCGTTTTTACTGTTTCAGTAGCGAGGTAATGTGTTTATGTTGCTATTTCCACGATTAATGTGGGCTTTTCTGCGTTTTTCTGCACAGTGGGAAAGTTTTCTTTGGTAGGCCTGAGATTAGGTGCAGAAGACTCATCCAGCTAAGAGGCCACATGCGGGACAATTGTTGGTAGAGCTATCCCTGCTGTGCTCCAACCACACAGCCCCTTGACGGTGTTCCGAATATTTCTTTGTCGGACTATCCAGGACATTCACATGCCATTCATCCATCTCTCCTGTCTCATGTAAACATCCTACCAGAGTCATACACAGTGACACAGGAATCTTGTCTATTGCACATGTAATAGCGTGAAAGGCATGCTCATGTGAAGCTGTGTTTTATCAAAGGGATAATGTCCATTATGAAGCCTGTAATGATACACAAAATCATGAAACAATATGATTTGTGATAGTAGAGTCACAGTGTACACACTATTGAAATGATTAGTTATGAAATGAGCTGTGTTACGTGTGTGTGCAGTATAAACAAACGTAATTTGATACCTTGTCTGTATGGATGTAAAAAATATCACAGTGAGAAAATTATTTACGGTCAGATAAGATCAAAGCATTCAGTAGTATACACAATGGGGGTATGGGACCGCAAAGCAAAAATCCTATGTTAAAGTAATGGGGAAAAGACCAAAGGGTGCACCTCCACTTAACATTTGAGTATATAGGGACACTCTTTGTTTGTATTGGGTTTTTTCTTCGCAATCCCAGTAGTCCATCCAACCCCAAGACAGGTATACGGAAAGCAAAAATGGAGTCCAGCGCAGAAAAACAACAACAGTATGTCGATAGGGTTTGAACCACTGTCGAGTTGTTTCTCCAGCGGCAAAGGTGCACTCGAATTAGAGATACACTAGATACATAGGTATAGAAGACAACAAAATGCCCGGAACCAAGCTATCGTGCGAAGCCTACGCCGAGATCCGATCGGGTTGTTTGTCCCTTCGGGAAGCAAAGAGGAAGTACCACATATCGCAAGCGAATCTGTGGCAGCCCCGAGAGAACTCCCGACATGGCCAAAGTCTTCGAGAGCCTGCTGGAGAAGTGTCCCCACGTATTGCTTTCGGACCGAGAGAAACAAATCCTGGAAAAATCGGGACACTACTTCTACGAGCGCTACCAGATACCTCACCAGTTTCTGGAACTGTATTTGCTGTACTTTCGCCAATTCGTCGAAGACGGCAAATAGTGGATTTCGTCTACCTCTACCAACCCAACCAATTTCGCCCCGCGGCGGGCAAACTCTGCATCGTTCTTGCGGACGACTACTGCCGCCCAGCAGAACCCAAGGACAAAAGAAACCACCGATGCACCGATTGCCTGGCCGCAATATCGGAAGTCCCCACTATCTTCGAGCGAGACAACTCTACATGCAAGTGCGGCGCCATCGACCACTGCGTCGACAACAAGAAATGCGTACCGTGGAAAAACAAAGCGATAGAAGACTA